TATGTGACCTTCAGTACACCCTCAGCCTCTGCGTCTCCAAAGCATTATTCATCCTCTTACAGAGAGGCTAGGAATCCAAATTTCCACAGAGAGATCCTCTAGAAAGTGTGGATTCCTACTTTGGCACTGAGCTGACGTTCCCTAGTGGAAGGCCAACTCATTTGTTCTCCTGTTACTCCACCCTGCTAGCAACCTCAACAGGGCACCTCTGTGGACTGCGGACCTCGGAGTGGCGCACACGCAAAAACGGGGGTGGACACTTGGCTACGACGTGCCTCCCTTTCCATCTGATGGTCTGTTTCAGAGGTCATTTTCTTCTTCTAAAGGCACAACAGCTGTCATGATCCTCATCGCTCCATTTTCAGCCACTTCCATTGAGACAAGCTGCCACGGAGTAGCCAACATCTGCATCCTTGGGTCAAAGGTGCCTTCCATGCAGGGCCAGGGTGCTGTGGGCTCAAGTCTCCCCTCGCCTCAGCCCCTCGGTCTGGTTTGGGTTTAGAGATGAGGCCGTCACGAGATCCAGAGCAACTCGCCAGGGCAGAATGTCCAGGTGACAGAAAGCGAAGCCCGTGCCTTGAGATTCCAGCAGAATGCCGGGGCTCGGCTCCTGGGGCCTGCTGTCCAACGGGGTCCCTGCCCACCAGGTGCCCACGGGCGGCCTGTTTCTCTGGAGGCAGCACCTGTGGGTTTGTTTGAGGCTGAAATGCATCATCTTTACAGAGTGGGGAAAAAATCACAGATGAGCTTCTTAGCGTTGGGCGTTTCCTTGAAGTGAGGCGGGATCAATCTGGGCTTTGGGGACATTTGCTTTTGGGGCTTCTGGGTAGTGTCATGTGGCTTTTCATGGAACGAAGCTTCTGAGAGTGGGGTGAACTGTCCACTGTTCCAACTCTGCCAGGTTTCTGTGTGTTTCTGTCTTCTGATAAAGAGTGGCAGCTATGGGTTGGAATACCCCCAATTACCTTTTGGGTCGACACAGATGGCTCTCAGAATTCTGAAAAACGTCTTCCCCTGTGCTCTACACCAAGCTACCCGTTCTTCCTTTCTGAAGCAGGAAGTGAGGTCCAGAGAATCAGGCTGGAGTAAAGCTAAAGCAGATAAACCCCGTCCCCTTCGTTTGCTCTCTCCTTTCCTTCCAAATGTTGTGTTTGCAATATTAACTCAGGAGACCTTCAGTAAGTGGTCGTCGACTGCACCGGTCCGTGGGCGCATGACGCGTTTACACACAAGGCCTGGCTTCCCATGGCAGAAGCGGGAAAGGCCAAGGAGGCGCTCACCTGGTCAGGGTCCAGGCGGCGGGAGTGTTTTGCATTTTGCCTAAACTTCCCCACGCAAGGGCGAAAAACTGGCCACTGTACGAGCTGGTCTTGGGTTGGGAGCCTGAGCGGTGCAGGGGCACAGGGCCAGCTGTAGGAAGGATCCCATGCTTGGTTCACGCTGTTGTCCCCATCTTGACATCCTTCATACTCTCTGAACAAGGGCCCGACCTTTTTGTTTTTCCCTGGGCTCCTCCAGTGACGTAGCCGGTCCTTGTGAACACGAGCAGGCGTGGGCTCTGCCATCTTCGTGTTCTTCTCTCCCAGCCATGCACCTCCTCTCCCCTCCCCATCCAGCCTCAGAGCCAGGCTCCGGGCTGGCCTTTCCTCGGTCCTCAAGAGCAGGAAGCTGAGGAGTGCCCCCGCGGCAAATCGCCTCTCAACAACCTTCCCATGGGTTTGCAGAGTATTTGTCATCTGGTGCCTTCTCCTTGCCACCCCCACGGACCTCTGCTAGGTTTGGACTTTCCGGAAACGTCAGGCAATTTCAGTAGCCATGAAAGCTGAGCCTGATTAGGAGAAAGGCAGCTCTGTTGCCCGTGAAGAGTCCCACAGTGCCAAAAGTGGAACAAAACTTATTTTTTCATTTGTAATTTGTGTACTCTTATCAACATTAAACCGGCAAACAGGTGCAAAACCGACTGACATTTGGAGTTTATATCAGTTTTAAAAGATCTTACTGAACACCTGACTACTCTAGTTCATGTCTGTTTCCTGTATAAGGTTTCTCTTTTTTCTTGTTTTTTACATTGAGCCTTTGGACATTTATCCAGTATTCTTATTAAATTCTTATATTTGCACCACTCGCATAAACCACCCAAGTATTACTGCAGCAAAACTCCGGTCTTAATAGTCATTTCTGCCTTTCCCTCTTTTCTTTCCTTGTTTCTTATTGCCTAAGGACATTCTTTTAAAATGGCAACATTCCTCCTTTACCCAATTTAAAAATTGCTCACCTTGCCAGACTCCCTCTCCTCCACTACCCTGGTAGAAACGCTTTTTTAAAACTGCACTTTACAGTGGATATCTGTGCCTTCTTGAAGAACGTGAAACGAAATAGTCCTGTCTGTGATTTCCCTGCCCGTAATACTGACAGCGCCGTGTATAACATGACGCTCTGACCTTTAGGAGAACCCAAAGAAGACATGTCTGTGCTCTCAGTTTGATCTGGAGTAAGGGCTAAGGCACCTGGGACCACACCTAACGTGTCAATCTAAAATGGTGTCATGGAGAGTAGAAAGGTAGACACCAGACTAGGCTGGTGGGTGGGGGGCAGGGGAAGAAGAAAGGTTGGTTATAGACACAACACACAGCTGGAAGGAATACGTTCAGACTCTATTAGAAGACTTGGAACACACAGCTCTAGGTATGACCACTGTTTATTTGTGTGGATAACTGTGCTAATATGTGCACGACAAAAACTAGAAACATTAAAAGTAAGAGATAAAACATAAACAGAAGCTCTAATGACTTCTTCACTTATCGAAGAGGCTGTTTTCTGAACTCCCTGAAGCGCACACACACCCCTCAGGATACCACTGGTAAACAGAAGAGAGGATTGGATCAGAACTGGTTTCAGGTCAGAGAGGACAGCCAGGACGCAAGGGGGATTCTGGATCTAAGCGGGGGACAAGATGGCCGGCTGAAGGTAGCGTAAGAATGGAGAGGAACCTGGACAGGGATGCTGATGACCGAGACAGGGAACAAAGGAAGGACAGTGAGGGACAGATGAGGTGACCAGACTCAGCACACTGTCGTGCATATTTCAGAAAGTAACCAGAAGGGAGGACTCGAGATGGCACCAACACGTAAAAATGATGCACACTCAAGGTGAGCTTGCTCCAAGGTGGAGGAGACCCCAATGACCTTGACTTGAACATTATACATTCTTTGCATGTAACAAACACTCACATGTACTCCATTATATGCAAATTACATACATAACTGATATATATAGCAATGTTTTATATATATCAATTATATACATCACTTTATGTGTCAATTGTATACAATTATATATTTTATTGTCTAGCCTTTATTTTTGCCTCATGTGTCCTCCTATTTCTCTCTTTATACTTGCTATATATGTATATATATAAATGTATCAATAAAAGAAAAACACATTTCAAAAATAAGAAGTAAAATAACATCGTGTCATAAGGATCATTGGACATGGAAGGAAATGGGGAAAAAAAATCTACTGACCAAAACTTTCAGGGAGAGTGCATGTGGCTGAAAGGAAGACTTTAAGAAGACACACGTAGGGCTCAGGGACTTCAAGGACCAGGTTCAAGGGACAATGTCCTCGGTGAACTGCCCGTGGAGTGGCTTAGCTGGACTTAATGGGAGTTTTTGTCTGCTGACAGGGGTGGGTGGGGCGGATAGAATTGAAGGGTTGGAGACAGGCGGCCCGGAGAGGGGGTGAGAAGCTGACGACGTGGCCCGTGGTCTTCAGGACTCACACCCAGTCATGGCCTTCTCTTGGCCATGACCAGAGCAGAGTTCGGAGCCCAGGGGAGGCCTGCCAGTCCAGGGGGAGCAGCTCTGTGTGCCTTTGTCCTAACCCTGCCCCCACCCGTTTTATTGTCTGGCCTTTCTTTCCTTTTGCCTTTGTGTCCTCCGTATTTCTCCCTTGCCTCTGTCTCTCCCAAGCCCTTCCTGGGCGCAGGCCACCTCTCCACGTCACATGACTGATCACGCCACACCCCAGTGGAAGAAAACCTGTGGGTCATCTGAAAAGTCCACCCTCCTGTGGAAGCAGAAGGAACACGTGTCAAAGAGTTGCCCTTGGGGATTAGTGGGGTTTTGTGTCTGACTGTGTCTGCTGAGAACGAGGAGGGTGACCAGCCCCTGAGAACATTCTGAAGCCAGAGGACATGGATTCAAACCCTGTCCCCGACACGTGAAACCTTAGTACACTGCTATCTCCAAGCCTCGGGTTTCTGATCTGTAAGAGGGCACGACAGTACCTGGCTCTTAGGATTGCAAGGTAACACACACAATATACTTAGGAACCGACTGGTTTTCAGTGCATGGTAGCCCTCTTCATTTGTGACATTCAGATGTCTTTCACCAAAGGGATACGTGACACATTTTCGTGGGACTGAACTTCTTGGAAGGACAGGCTAAGACCTGGCCTATGTCGGAGCATCGCAGCCAGTGACAACAGAGTACAGTCTGGCTCAGCCGCAGGGCAGAAAGCTGGGCAGGAGGGCGAGGCTGTGGGGCTGAGTCAGGCAGAGGATGCATCTCCTTTTCTGTGTGTTTTTGAGTCAGAGTCTCACTCTGTCACCCACATGATCATGGCTCACCAAAGCCTCGACCCTCCAGGTTCAGGCAACCCTCCCATCTCAGTCTCCTGAGTAGCCAGGACTATACCAAAAATTTGATTTATAGATATGATTGACATTTATGTAAATATTATATATATATACATATATATGTATATATGTTTTTTTTTTTAAGAGATGAAGTCTCCTAAGTTGCCCAGGCTGGTCTTGAACTCTAAGGCTGGTGAGCTCCTCCCACCTCAGCCTCCCAAAGTGCTGGGTTTACAGGTGTGAGCCACATGCCTGGTCCATCTTACCTTTTTAATAGTACTTTGAAGTATTAACTGCGACAAAACTGCAACCAACATCATTTCCATAAGGTAGCACATGCAAAGACCACTCCACACAACACTCAGAAAATGAAAGCAGCCCCTTTATTTTATACATACAAACAGTATAAAATGTTTATCACGTAAGAGCTGTTTGGTTTACAATATATTATATCGCTGCAAGCCAATACAAAAAATTCATACATTATATCCCCCATTTCATTGTGTTTACAATATATTATATTGTTTAAATGCCACTACCACAGCGTACTTTTTTTTAATACTGAATACTCTGGAATAATTTTAAGGTCAAAATATATTGTACTGACAGTTTAAAAAAACAGGGGCAGTTAAGAAACATGACAAGCATCCAAATATATGACAATACAATTTAAAATGCTGTAGCTTCAATGCTATTAACTGCTTCATCCAACGATGTATGCATGCATTTTTGTCCGATTTAACCTCTCTTATGTTTTCAGCCCCTGGACACCACAAATGCATTGTAAGTTTGAAACTATCTGCCGACTACACACTGAAAAGATAAAATTTTAACCTGATCAACAGACGTCACATAAAATCTGTCCCAAAGCACTGAAACGAGAAAACCTACCCCATCATGCCAGACGCACTTAGACAACTTAAAAGGAAGAGTAAATATTGGCTCGGTGATTTATAATGAAGCTAATAAAATTCAGGCCAGTATTCTTAAGTGTAATGAACATTATCCGAACGTCCAACACATGAAAGGTTGACGAAGGCTGTGAACCTGGTGGAACTTAAAGCGTCTCAGATGCCGGGCGTCACCAGATGTAATTGGATTCAGCTGGGTGTGGGTCCTGCCTGTCCTCAGCCTTTTTAGATGGAGACATGTGCTGCTGGGGCCGGGTGCCTGCTGGCCTCGGGGCGTGTGTGAGGCTGGCTCTGTACCCTGCAAAATTATTCACAGTTTAAAACAGAAGAAATGACACAAACAGGCTCTTCGAGCGAATTCTTCTCCATTCCAATGAAATCCATTTTGCCTTTTCAACCCAGAGGGAAAGACCACAGCGGCCACACAAAGTTACTCGCATGAAGACATGTTACAGGTTCAAGACCTTGTTAACAGAAACCCACTTTATTAACACCCTCAAGTCTGGCTTCCATTGCGTTTCCCATTCATATAGATTTTGGACATGCGGAACACTTTTTTTTGTTTTTTTTTTTTTAGAGAAAGGGTCTCACAATCATGGCTCACGGCAGCCTTGACATCCTGGGTTCAGGGGGTCCTCCTGCCTTGGCCTCCTGAGTGTCTGGGACTACAGGTGCGCACCACCACATCTGGTTAAATACTTTATTGTTTTGGAGACTGGATCTGGGCTATGTTGCCCAGGCTGATCTCAAACTCCTTGGTCTCCCAAAGTGCTGGGATTACAGGCGTGAGCCACCATGCCCAGCCTCCATGCAGAAACTCTCGACGCAAAGTCTGGGTTGCATGTGACTGAAGGGACAGTGGTAAGGACCTTGTGCCGAGGTTTTGAATGCTTCTGCAGATAATTTGGCCCTTGATGCTTTTCACTGTATTGCAAAGCCAGCCTCGCTTACAGTGACAGCTCAATGTAACCACCCCATGCTTCATAAAAGCCACATGATTGGGTGTGGCTATTTCACTCACACAAGATGGGAATCTTGTAAAAATTAAGGACTTCCATTAATGCGCTAGGGAAAGGGTTATGGTCTGAACTGGCTCCTCGTCAGTGGGGACTTGTGAGTTCTGGTCAAGGCGAGCGTCTGTTGCCAGCTCGGCTCTGCGTGGAATACAACACTGAGCTATACAACCTCCCTGCCTCTTCCTCATGAACTTGGGGAGACGCTGGGGGCACTGACTCCTTTCAGATTTCCTAAAACTGATCTAAGGCAGCAAACGCCATTTAAAAATCTGCCTCTGTCTCCTGGTGCGGCCGTGTAAAGTCAGGCATTCGTTTCTTGCATTTTGGAAACGCACGCGTGCCATGAACCGGCTGCTGAGCGGAACCCTGGCTCTGAGTGTTTCTCTGAATTGTCGGCATGGAGGCTAGCAGTGTCTGGAGTGGCCTGAAGTGGAGCCATCTGGAAGCTGGAGTGAGCCCCACAGTGCCGCTGGGACCACCACCCACCCGTGAAGCCCAAGCCTGCAGCTGGGAGGGTGAGCCTCCGTGGGCAGGGCCAGCTCCGGGATCCTGTGCCCCACAATGGTTCCTGGGACCCAATATGTCACCCCACTGGGAGTATGTACTTAGCAGAACTCTGTGCCCCAGAGCTTTCTCGTTACCTCCCTCCAGTCAAAATAAACTCAGTGCCCTCAGCTCGAGTCTCGTGGCTGATATATAGAAGGCTGGGTGGCCTCTCCCAGAAGGTGCCCTTGCATCTCCACGGAGCACCTGGGCACCTCCTTGGCATGCACTGCCCGGGTCCGGGGGAGGCAGGTCAACGGCAGGAGAGGGAGAGTAGCTGGACGCCTCAGAGGGGAGAGTGCCCTCAAGCCCCCTTCTTGGCCATCCCCACCCAGATGTGAGTCCAAGAAGACCTTTGTAACCGAATATAGGATGTGTGGTCTGACCCAGGCCCGAGACTTCTGGGCAGCGACTTTGATTCTGGGACCAGCCTCAGGGTTTGCGTGCAGGCAGCTGGGGGGGAGGCACAAAGGGTCTGGTTTACTCTTTCCCAAAGCGGCTCTAAAAACGGTGGGGCTCCCACAGGCCTCTGCGTGGCCACTGGGTGAGGGGCTGTTTTCCAGAACAGCTGCACTTCTGAGTCAACTATGGACCCCTGAGGCCAATGGAACCACACATCCGTCAACTCAGTGGGTGAGAAGGAATCCGATTCACGGTTTAATGTAGCCTAGGCCAGACACCAACCTACCTCAAAATGAATAAAGGTGTAGCCCCGCATATAAACGCACTATGTAGCCACTAGACAAATACAACGCGAACGTTGTAAAATGTAAAAATGAGAAAGACTGCAATAAAGAAATAGAACTATTTTCATATTAAATGTATATGTGTCTATGAATACAATATAAAAATATTTTAAAACTAGTGCCTGCCCTCAGCACCCCTTGATAACCTCACACTCACTGGGATTTAGGCACTGCTCTCTGGAGACCACAGCTCTAGAAAAACGTCTGATGAAGTGATTTGATCAGTTTGTATCCATTATTTTGGAGACACAATATGAGAGACACTATCTGGAATTGTGGGTTGTTTCAGGGTCTTACTGTGTTGCCCCGTCTGGAGTACAGTTAGCATGATCATGGCTCACCGCAGCCTTGACCTCCTGGGCTCAGGCAACCCTTCTGCCTCAGCCTCTTAAAGTGCTGGGATTACAGGTATGAGCCACCATGCCCTGCCAACTTTTGTTTTGTTTGAGTGGGGGTCTCACTCTGTCACCCAGACTGGAGCGCAGTGGCACAATCATAGCTCACTGCAGCCTCACCCTTCTGGGCTCAGGTGGTCCTCTCACCCCCACCTCCAAAGTAGCCTGTACCACAGGTGCACACCACCATGCGCGGTTAATTTTTTCATTTTTTATTTTGTAGAGACGAGGTTTCACTATGTTGCCCAGGCTGATCTCAAACTCCTAGACTCAAGCAATCCTCCTGCCTCTGCCTCCCAAAGTGTTGGGATTACAGGCATGAGCCACCACACCCAGTCCGATGTAAAGATTTTATTTTTTATTTATTTTTTGAGTTGGAGTGTTACTCTATCACCCAAGTTGGAGCGCAGTGGCATGTTCACTGCCACCCCAGCATCGACCTGCTGGGCTCCGGCAATCCTTCCACCTCAGCCTTCCAAGTAGCCGGAACCACAGGCATGCACTACCATGCCTGGTTAATTTTTGATTTATTGTAGAGATGAGGTCTCGCCAAGTTGCCTGGGCTGATCTCAAACTCCTGGGCTCAAGCGATCCTCCTGTCTCTGCCTCCCAAAGTGTTGGGATTATAGGCATGAGCCACCATGCCCAGTCTGATGTAAAGATTTTCAAAACCAAAATGCTTCAGGTTCTATACCCTAGTTGATAAATCATGAACCATAAAATCAGAGGCAAGCAGGTCCTGATTCTGCATTTGATTTAAAATCTCAACTCCACATATCATTTCTTTCATGGTTAACATACTGTTAACATACTGTCCAGTCAATCTGTATCACTAATTTAACCCGGAAGATATCTGTGATAGTTGACAGATCAGTGGTACCTCGCAATGATGTATTACTCTTTACACTCTAAAGCTCAGACTCTAAAGTTTAGAGGGAGGAAGAAGATTGTAGGAGGAAGAGGCAGGGAAGCAGTTGCGTCTAATGAAACGGAAAGTGGCCTGAGTTCCTGGCTATGAGTCTTTGGAGCCAAGAAGCAGAAGCGGCCGGCTCCCTTTCCGGCCCCACTCACTTTTATTGCAGTGTCTTCCGTGCCAGCCTTCCTGACACTGGCATCTGTTGGGTTCGTGGCAGGTCCCCTGTGCACCGCAGCCAGGCTCACAGACAGCTAGAAGCAAAGGAGATAAAAAGATTTTTTTAAAAAGCAGAAGGACATGGCTGCTTTTCCTGCAGTTCTCTAGAATGTGACAGTTTTGGTTTCATCTGTTAATTTTATTTTTCCCCCTAAGTCAATCTCCAACTATAAACCAGTTTTGAACTTTTGGGAAAAGTCCTGAGAGGGAGCTTAAACGAAGCTTGGTGCTTTTCATTCACAAATGACGTTCAGCAGGATTCTGCAGCTGCGGCCAGTAGAAACTTACCTTCCTTCAGCGAACCCCGAAAGGCTAAAGCCTTCCCCTGCACGTGTGAGTGGGTGTGAGCGTTTGTCCATGCGTGGATGTCAAGTAATGCCTTCGATCCACACCAAGGGAGCACGGGAGTCCGTGGGGCACAGTGCCGTGCCGCGCGAGTGGGCCAGCAGTGACACGGGGGACAGCAGCTAGGTTAGCCGTTGCACGACCCAGGTGGACCACGCGTGGGACTTACGCTTCGAACAGAGGTCTCCCTGGTAACCTTTGGGGCACTTGCACTTGCGTTTACCAATGCATCTCCCTCCGTTGCGGCAGGGCTGTGGGCATTTGCCTGAAAAAGACAGGAAGGCAAATCAGTCAGGAGGAACCCAGTGCTTTCTTCCGAGGTGATTGCGTTTTTCAAGGGAATTGCAAGGCTTGTAGAGGATAACTGCCTTCAAGTGGTGGTTATTTCCACCTGTTTCAAACCAACCCTAGCTTGCACATTGTTTGAATTTTGTTTTTGCAACAGACAGGTGTTTTTGGATACATATCTTTTCCCATAATAAATGTGTCATCAAAATGATATATTTATATTACTTGTTTTTCTTTAGTTGGGGTCTCACTCTGTGGTCCAGGTTGGAGGGCAGTGGCATGATCATGGGTCACCAAAACTTGACCTCCTGGGCTCAGGGGATTCTTCTACCTCAGCCTCCCTAGTAGCTGGGATTATAGGCATGCGCCACCATGCCCGGTTAATTTTTTGTGGAGATGAGCCTTTGCTATGTTGCTGGTCTTGAACTCCTGGGCTCAAATGATCCTCTTGCCTTGACCTCCCAAAGTTCTGGAATTATAGGCATGAGCCACCACACCCGGCCTTTATATTACTTATGCATAAAGAGAATAATCTTTTAACTGACCCACAAATCCTTGTCATTTAAGAGATACCTTACTAAAAGTTAAGACGTGAATGACCCTCTAAATGGTCTTGTCCCCGAGCTTCGCTCTTTGAAGGTCACTTTTTCTGAAAGCAGGTCTACACCTGTACCTGGCGACCTCCGTCTTAGCCTAGGATTCTCCAGAAAGCAGGACTTGTATGCAGATAGCGTATTCGCGGATGTGACTCCAGGAAGCAGGAAGAGAAGGATGGGAAGAAACAGGGAAGGCAGGAAGGGCAACACAGGAGTGTGCTGGGGGAGGCAGGGTCACTGTGGGCAACTGGGCTCTGCCCTGCTGGACCCTGTGAGGCCCCCTGGACTGCACCTTAGAGTTGCCCGAAAGAAGGAGCAGGGAGGATTAATTCATCTGCGTCTACTCCCACCACTGTCTCCCAACGCCAAGCGATGCCCCTGGGCTGATAACTCCCTCCCGTATCCCTATTGCCACTGTGTGAGCGCAGGATGGGTTTCATCAGGATTCAGAGAAGTTTCAGGTGGAAGCAGAGTGTGGTGTGGTTGGGTTGGGGGCGTGGTCCACTCCCAGGCACAGAACAGACTGCTGGGGTGGTGGCCGGAGGGGAGGGTGGGCTGCAGGGCTGAGCCCAGCACAAAAGGTGCCTAGGGCCACACAGTGCGCTGTCCTAGGCCATCTCAGACCCCAGGGACACACATTCTTTCTTTTCTTTCCTTGTGCTGAGTGAGTATTGCTGGCATCCGCCAGTGATCTTTGAAGCGCAGAATTTTAGAGCTGAGCTGGGCAAGGATGTGGGATGTAAAAAATTATGCAGTGGTTTCTCCCTTCTTGTTCCAGGAGCTGTTCATTCTCCCTCTGCCTTCAAGAATTTGCTATCCTGAAGCTGAAGGGTTTGAAGAAGCAGACAGTAAAGGACTGTCCACCCAGAGCTGGAAACACTTCCTGAGACTGGCAGAATGGCAGACAGAGACAGCCAACAGCCATCGGCGTCAGGTGGGGAAGTCTGGAGTCTTTTTTTTTTCTCCCTTCATTTTAGTAGAACAAGGCCCCTGGGTATATAAGGAGATGTAATGAAATCTCCATCCTAAGCCAAGCCCCTTCTCATTCTCGAAATCCTTCCTTCTCTGGCCAAAGCATACTTTGAAAGAGGTAAACCATGCATTTTACCAACAAGGGCTGCTCTTGACAAACAAGAAGTCAACTCCGCTTGAAAATCATGTGATTTCTCCTTTTACTTGCCTAAAAGGACTTTCCTCACATATAAATAGGCCAAGGCAGCATTTACTCATTGTGTAGACAGTACAGACACAATATTGGGATGTCAGGGTCTCTCCGAACTTGGAATACCATTCGACCTTGAGGTTTTTCTAAAGCAGAGGTGTTCTAGAAACAGGTATTAAAATAACCTAAGTAACAGACTTTTTCACCTCTTCATTGACCACTGAAAACCCAAAGGGGCCCTTTTTGCTAGGTTTGGATACACAAATATCACTTGCTATTTAGTTAAGATCTCAACTCTTACCTAAAAGAAAGGAATATCTAACTTCAAATTTCCATATGCATCAAAGAAACACGTGACCCCAACATTCACATCAAACCGATCCTATCATGATACTCTCCAGTGCACCGGTTTTTTTGGAAGCAAGCAAGATGTGGGATGATAATTATATGGCAGAAAAGACAGAGCAACATACGAAAGGTGTACACGTGAACTGCTCCCACGTGAACCACTCCCACATGAACTACTTGGGGAGCCCACATTTTCCCATGCTCTGTGAGGGGAGACCTTGGCCACTAGGACAATGCAGAGAACGATGGGTGGAGAGACACTTGTCGTTGGCTCCATGGGTCTTTGTTTTCTTGGCAAGAGGGAAGTGAGGACCCTTGGGTTCAGGCAGCCAGGAAGATGTCATCACACAACAGAAAGGTGACTGCAGGAGACAATGGATGTTGGAAGTCAAAGCTCATACAAAGACCACAGGAGCCAAAATTCATGAAGTTCCAATTGCTTTCAAGTTTCTGAATGCCGTGTCTTTGATGTTGACTTTCTTTTCCTGAAAATATCTTGCAGCCAAATTATATCCACTGAGTACTGTGGAAAACCGAGTCAGTTTGAGAGATGGTACACTTCTACCTAAAGAGACCCCACCTCGCCTTGGAGACAGATTTGACCATATCTAAACAGTCGGCATTTTTACTGTAACCAGTCCTTGTCAGGACAACGAAACACAATATGGGCAAAATAGACTTAAGACTACTTCCACCTATTTAATTGTCAAATAACGTAAAGTTGTGACTCTGCTTTGTGAAGAAAAAGATAGAAGGGCTTACAACAAGTGCCAACAACAGTCCTCTCTAGGTCTTAGTATTATGGGTGATTTTTTTTTTTTTTTTTTTTTGAGTTGGAGTCTCACTCTGTCACCCAGACTGGAGTGCAGTGGCCGCTCCCGGCCACTGCAGCCTCGACCTGCTGGGCTCCGGCGATCCTTCCGCCTCAGCCTTCCGAGTAGCCGGAATTACAGGCATGCGCTACCATGCCCGGCTGATGTTTTGATTTGTTGGAGAGATGAGGTCTCGCTGCCCAGGCGGGTCTTGAACCCGTGGGGGCTCAGGCAATCCACTCACCTCAGCCTCCCAAAGGCGCGGGATCACAGGCTGAGCCCGGCATGGGTGACTTTTAATTGTTTTCTCCAATATTCCAAATTTTTTACAGAGAATATTTTATACTGATGACTTTTATAAGAAGAGGAACTCACTAAGTCATTCTAAAAATCCTTGAACAATACACCATAAATAATTTGTCTGGTCTTTTAAACTGAAGGCTCATTAAAGATTCTTGGGAAATCTATGAGCTTTAAATAACAAGATGAATGCACACACCATCTGTCCAGATACTTCTACCCATGGATTTACTTGTTAACTGCAAATGTATTCCACAATCTAGTCAAAATAAAGTTTGAGAGGGTATCATTCTTGACAAAAGCCAGGAGAAATGAAAATAAGAAATTGCGACCCCTTGGTGCTGGGCGTGGTGGCTCATACCTGTCATCCCAGCACTTTGGGAGGTGGAGGTGAGAGGATTGCCTGAGCCCAGCAGGTCGAGGCTGCGGTGGCCGTGAGTGTGCCACTGCACTCCAGCCTGGGAGACAGAGTGAGACTCTGACTCATAAATACAAATAAATAAATAAGAAATTGGGACCCTCATACATTGCCGGTGGGGATGTGACATGGTGCAGTCACTTTGGCAAACATTCTGGCAGTTCCTCAAAAAAGCTGCTCCCATATGACCCAGCAATTCCACTCCTATGTATATACCCAAAAGAAATGAAAACTTATGTCCATACAAAAAACTTGCACACAAATGCCTGTATCAGCTTTACTCATAACAGCCCCCAAATGCAAACAACCCAGATGTCCATTGATTGATCAATGAATAAACAAAATGTGGTGTATCCATTCAATGGAATATTATTCAGTAATAAAAAGGAATGATGGACTGATAGACACGCCAACATGAGTAATCCTTGAAGCCATTAGGGTCAGCCTATGTGAAAGAAGCCAGCTAGACACAAAATGCCACGTGTTGTGCCATTTCATTTACGTGAAATGTCCAGACTGAGCAAGTCTAGGGAGAGATGAAGTGGATTCATGGTTGCCAGGGGCTGGGAGAGGGGGGCATGGGGGGAGGTGACTGCTGATAGACACAGGCTTTCTTCTGGGATGAGCAGACGTTCTGGAATTTGACAAAGGTGATGGCTACACTACTTTGTGAGTATACCCAACAATGTTTGAACACGTTGCATTTAATAAGTTATAGCCTAATCAAAAAATAAAAACACATAATCCAACTACACATTTTGTCTCCATACTTTCAGAGACACTTTTCAGCTCAAGTCCCACATCCATATTTTCCTGGTCATGTGGTTCCTGTAATAGAAACAGGAAATTTCCTAGAAGGGTTTGAATACAACCTGCGGTAGGGTCCATCAGAAGCTTTCAAAGACCCACATTTTTTGATGCAGTTAGAAAAAACAGACCACCAACAACAAAAAACAATTAAAAAGCATAGTCTCTGCCAACAAAGAGGTCGTATACCCAAGGGCATGAAGGAGAATACTTTTTTTTTTTTTTTGAGGACAAATGAGCCCATGAACAAAGGTTCATAAACATAAACCAACTGAGTAGGCAAAGTTTGAGAGTAAGTAGGGGGGAACTGAGAGGAGTTAGCTCAGAGAGATCTTTATCAGGGAAGGGTAATTAATAAGAATAGAAACCACATCCAGACAACTAATTACATGTTCTTTGGAAGCTTCAGAAGTATCTCATTTGAACTCTAAAATATAGTTACTTCATCTACTACTCATTAGGGTACAAAAACCCACAAATAAATTAAAGGTTGAAAGTTAAGATAGGAACTTGGGAGTATTCAATTTTGAACCC